GGACAGGAAAGCTGGTAATGGGGAACCCAAGGTCAAGAAGGGGAGAGTGTTGACATGCTGTGGGGTTGGCAACCAATGTTACAACACATTATGTGTATTAATCGTTTAATGAGAAACTAATTTGCTCTGCAAACCTTCATCTAAAGTATAATAATAAAAAAAAAAAAGAATGGATGAGGTGGCATGATCCAAATTGTGTTTAAGGAAGCTCACCCTGCTGCCAGTGCAGAGAATGGCTTCTTTGGGGAAGAGACTGGAACTGGGAAGACCAGTAAGAAGGCTGCTCCATCATCCAGAAAAGTGGTTGCCTGCCCAGATGAGGCCAATGGCAGAATGAAAAGAAAGGAGAGAGTACCGATGGAAAACTACTGTATAAGTAGAATCCATGAGGGTTAGCATTTAACTAGATGAAGGGTATAAGGAGGAAACAGGAACTAAAAATGGCTTTGAAACGTCTTTCTTGGGTGACTGCATGGTGGTGGTGACATTTCCTAAACAGAACACTAGAGAAGGGGCAGATTTGGTAGGGACTGGGGAAGAAACTAAGCTTTGTTTTGGTATCTTAAACTAGAGATGCTGGTGGAGAAAGCAAGTGAAGAGATATCTAGCAGAAAATTGCACATAAAATCTGAATTGTAAGATATTTGGGAGCTTTCAGTGCTCATGGAGACAACTGACAACCCAGGAGCTCATGTGCTTTGCTAGAAAGAACTTAAGTAGAAAAGAGGGTCAAGGGCTGTGGATACCCGTTAGACATTTCCGTCTCTCTGTGGGAGTCACAAAGTTATCATGTCCAAAATGTAATCAATCGTCGTCCCACCAACCCTGTTTCTCTTCTTGACTTCTTTAGCTGGGCAAATGGCATCAGTCTTTCCCTTCGTCACCCTGGCTTGAAACCACAGTCATCTTTGTCTCCTCCCTTAACTCCTTACACAATAAGTTTCACCTACAGAAAATTCTAAAAATCCATAAAAACAACAGGTAGGAGATAAAGTCATTTATAATGAAACTATTTTGAAAAGTGTGTAGTGTATCATTCTGGTCACGTTCGTATGTTAAGTGTAGATTTAATTTCCTTTAAACATGAATAGGATCAATCTCTATATTTTTAGAGTAACTTGTGAAGTATAGCAGTCATCCAGAAATGTACACAATCATAAATCAATGACTTTTCATGGCATCAAATATTCTTCCACAGCATCAATTTTAAAAGACTGCAAGGTATTCCACCTCATAGATATATCATAATTTAGTTAACTAACTCTTGTTGTAGGCTTTTTTATTTCTAGTCTTCTCAACACCACCCCCCCAACAACACTGCAGAGATGAATCTACTTGCATATGACATTTTTGTGCCCATTTCCAATTTTTCCTTAGAATAAAATTTCTAGAAGCAGAATTGCTGGATGAAAAGACGTGCATTTTTTATTTTAAAATTTAGATTTATATTTACAGAAAAATTGCAAAGATACTGCACACAGCTCTCCTACACCCCACACCCAGTTCCCCTCACTATTAACATGTTACATTAGTATGTTACACTTGTCACAATTAACAAACCAATACTGGTACATAATTATTAACTGAAGTCCATTCTTTACTCATATTTCCTTAGTTTTTACCTAAGATTCTTTTTCTGTTCCAGGATCCCATCCAGGATGCCACATCACATTTATATGTCATGTCTCTTTAGGCTCCTCCGGGATGTGGCATTCTCATCATATCATATCAAGACTGTATACTATCAACATGACTTATCACTGTTGATGTTGACCTTGATCGCCTGGTTGAGGTTGTGTCTGCCACACAACTGTAAAATTACTTACTTTTTTTGCCTCTTTTCAACAGCCCGACTTAAGAAACTGGAAGTTATATTTATGTTAATTATCTATACAAATTATTTATAATGCTGCACAGTAAATGTCTCTTCTCCCCCATTTATTTATTCAACCATTTTTTGTATCAGTATGGACTCATGGTTATTTCTTGGATTACTTTGGATTATAAAACAATATAAGTTTATTACTTTTGCTGCTTAAGGCATGTGTTAACTTTCATGCTGAGTTAACTCACTGCAAAGGTATCCTCGCCATAGGTTGTACCAAGTCTCACCGTTAAGAATGAGAAGATCCATTTCCCCCAACTTTACACATCCTTTTTAAAAGTAGGTCAGCAAGTAAGGGCGAGGCCGATGCTCCTCCCTGACGCCCAATTTCCTGACGCCTCCAAGAAAGATGAGACCAGCTCGCTAGGATCCTTCCTCTGAGAAACACCTTAGCCCAGGAGAATTACTTCGCCAAGCTCTCCCCAACCGCCGCGCCTTCGTACCCCTTCGTGAAACTCCCGGATTCCCCGTGGCTCCGCCCCTAGCGGGGCGGAAATGGGCACGGCCGCGGGGCGGAAGCGCTGCACCGGGGGGCGGTTCTTCTCGTTAACCCCTCCCACTCTGCTATCCCTCCACCCCTCCGGCCCAGACCGGAAATGAGATCAGAGAGGGAAACCCCGGCTGGGAGACGCGGCCCAAAAAGCTGCGGCCCGAGGAGGCGGTTGCGGCAGCGGGTGAGGGCGAGGAGTGGGATGAGCGGGTTGGGGTTCAGAAGACCCACGCCAGCGAGGATCAGGACTCCGGGCAGCCAGAGTGGCTAGGGGCTGAGCGGCTAGGGGCGCCAGGGGGCTGCGACGGCCGGCGGGAGGGTCGGTGGTGGCGGGGCCTTGCTTTTCAGGGCCCATCGCCCCCATCCCGGGGTCATAGGGCCGTCTCTGGGGCGAGAGTACCCTCGTCTCCTCTCTGCATTCTGGCTCTTCGGGGTCGGCGACAGCGTGAAGTCTTGGTGTCCAGATCTGTGTTCGCCGTATCCCACGAGGACGGGTCAGGGAGTGGGGGAGAGTCCCCCAAACACGCTCTTCCTCACATATGTGGCCATGTTGCCATCCCCGAACAGGGAGGGAGTTCAGCCGCCAGAACTTGCCTTTAGGCACCTTCTGACTTAGGGGCTGACCCCTGCGCCTGCTGATTGAGCCTAGATGAGAAGTTGCCGCCTGCTTCCCCGCCTCTCCTTCACCCTGCGTCTGCCTCTCTTGTCACTTGCTGTCCACCAGCTTCCTGTTCCTTCCTGTGCGTGACTCAGACCGGCTTACCTCTCCCCGGGGGCTGCCAAGACGCAGGAGGTCCGCTCGGAGTCTGCACCGAGACTGGAAGTGTGGGAGTCTCAGGGTTCTCTTCTGTCATCTGCTGTTCGCATTGCAGCTTTTGAGGCAGGAACGGATTCTGAGCAGGCATTCGATTGGAAGTTATTTGGATGACTTCGGTCCACGTTAGAGTTTGTACAGTTCTGCCTGAGTTTTTAAAGTAGTAGTTCTTTATTAGGGAAGTAGATTCAGATTTGTTTAGCTTGCTTGGGTTTTAGGGTCAGTTGTCTCCCAAACGCCAATCATGGCATTCTAAACCGCCTCCTATTACTTAAGGGGATGAAGTCTTTTTATGTGTGTGGCTTTTGACACTTTGAGAAGTTATGTTTGGGTGGTAGTTTTGGAACTAGATGTTCTCATTGCTCCCACAGATGTGGCAGATAAGCCAATAGGCTGTTTTCCTGCCTTTGAATTCGTTGGCATAGGGACAGCATGAAAATAGGTCTTAGAAAGCCCTTCGAAAAATGTAAACTGCGTGAACAGAAATATGGTCTGAGAGTGGCACCACACAATTATGGTCCTGAAATTGTTTGGGCTTAAGAAAAGCTAGGGAAAAAATGATAATTCAATATGTATTATAATTAGATGTTGGACAAATTATGTTAGACATTTACCATTAAAAGGGAATTTTGAAAATTGCTCATGCTACTCTCATCGTTTGAAGGTTTGAATTTGAAGTGACCCCTGAAGCGTGATGGTTTGTTAAGAATGAGTAGGAAATTTTAGAGGCTCCACCCCGTCCCTGTCATTCTAGCCTCAGTAATTTCCTGTGGCTGTGTGGCACTAAAGCATTTAATTAGGATGATTACTTAATTGATTTTTTGAGAGATGGGGAGAGGAGCTTACAAGATGTTAATTATGAGAAAAATACATGACATACTCTATAAGGTGCTATGCTTGGTAGTTGCCAGGTGGTAGTCTGGACTAAATGGGTGTAAAGTTAGTCTTTTTTTTTTTCTATTTTGAGTACAGAGTCTTGGATCACTGTAAAGTCACTACAAAGTCTTGGATCACTAAAACTTCAAGCAGTCTTCCTTAGAGTATGTTACTAAATTGTCTTTCTGTTCCTCACCACCTGTATTCTCACCAGTGACCCCAGACCACAGAACAATCAATTCTTCACCCATTCTCAATATCATTTTGAGACTGGGCCCTACGCCGATTCTGAAATTGTGTGTTTTTCTACTCCTCTGTGATGAGATAGGCTCGTATCTTTTTGGATCTCATTATCGTGTAATTCAGTTACAAGTTTAATTGGAGAAGAAGGGGAAAAATCTATCCCCGTGAGTTTGTTTGCTTGTTTTTGCTAATATTCCTGTTGTCACCTAGTGAGTGAGTGAGTGAGTTTTTGTGGTTACGAACATGTTGACTTAAGGCATTTCACAAGGGCCAGATACTTATTTTTATTGGCTTAGGGGAGCATGGGTGGCAGGAACAGAATGTAAGTGTAGCTGGATGAAAGGCGACTTTATTTTCTGTAAACAGGGTCGACTCTGCAGTGCTGTGTTCTGTTTTATAAAATTATTCTAAACCATCAGATCCTATTCAGGCTTTTCTTGTTTTTGAACTTTTGGCAGATGTGGCCTCATGGATGAGCTGGTACATGACTTGGCCTCAGCCTTGGAGCAGACATCTGAGCAGAATAAGCTTGGTGAGCTGTGGGAGGAGATGGCCCTGAGCCCTCGGCAGCAGAGGCGACAGCTTCGGAAACGAAGAGGCCGGAAGCGCCGTTCAGACTTCACTCACCTGGCCGAGCACACCTGCTGCTACAGTGAGGCCTCGGAGTCAAGTCTGGATGAAGCCATTAAGGACTGTCGAGAAGTGGCTCCAGTCACCAATTTTAGTGACTCCGATGACACCATGGTAGCCAGACGGCACCCAGCTCTCAACACCATTGTTAAGAGTAAGCAACATTCCTGGCATGAATCTGACTCCTTTACCGAAAATGCACCTTGTCGACCACTCAGGCGCCGGCGGAAGGTGAAGCGGGTGACGTCTGAGGTGGCTGCCAGCCTTCAGCAGAAGCTCAAGGTGTCAGATTGGAGCTATGAGAGGGGCTGCAGGTTCAAGTCTGCTAAGAAGCAGCGTCTGTCTCGCTGGAAGGAGAATACTCCCTGGACCTCATCAGGCCATGGGTTGTGTGAATCAGCAGAAAACAGGACTTTCCTAAGCAAAACAGGAAGGAAAGAAAGGATGGAGTGTGAAGCAGATGAACAAAAACAGGGCTCTGATGAGAACATGTCAGAATGGTGAGATCTCCCTTACTAAGTCAAAGATTTTCCCGGTTGATTTTACCCAAAGTCTAACCCACACTCTTGATGTGGGTTAGACTTTGGGTAAAATTAAAAACCCAGCTTTCTTTGAAAGCCACCACTGTAATATTGACTTTGTAGTCTTCCTTTAATTAATGAGCTTATTTATCTCTAGTTTTTAAAGTACCATCCATGAATTTCTTTCTCTATGTTAAGAGGGCTATATGTAATAGAAACATATTTGTTTCTAGAAATAGTTTAAAATGTGTACCTCAAATTTTATTTTAAAAATAACCAGGAATTTTATTTTAAAAATAATTTACTGCTATTTATGCCATGCAGTCCATGCGTAAATATTTTTCTTTAGACCCAGGATCTCAGCAGAGGCCATTGTGTATATATGTGTTTGTGAGAGAAAATGCTGGTGATAGGCTTATGGACTTTGTAAAAACTCCTGGAAAGCTGCCTTTCCCCATGAAGAATCATTGCTTTAGATACTTTTATGCTCTAATTCTGTTCTCTGCTACATATATTTTGACTATATTGGGTTTATATTTTATAGCTGACAGTCAAGTTGTCAGAACCCATGGTGGGCTTTGAAAATAACAGTACTGAGTCCCACTAGTGTTATACCAAATGTGATTGAGCCTGAAAAACTTCCCTCTAATGGGTGCACGTTTAAAATGTCAGTGTAGTTTTGGTAACTATTAGAGTCTTAGGAACATTGATACTCTCAGTTGAGACTTCCATATTATTATTAATATAAACCTATGATATGTTTCTCTGTGAGGGTGCTGTTGGTGTTTTGCATAGGACAGTTCTTTGTGCTGAGGGATTCTCCCACGCGCTGCATCTCTACATTGTTCCCCCACCCCATTCATTGTGTCAATCCAGATGCCCTCATGAACGCTCCCTAGGTAGGTTGAGTTCTCACAGTTGAGAACCATTGTATTCTGTTATTGTTAATACAGTGAAACCTGTGAGAACTGGAACCTAGCAAAACTACCTTGTTTTTCCTGGTCTCGCGAGTTTTCCACCTTTGACAAGATGCAGTCGGACCGCTTTTTGATCACTGTCTATTAGTGGAAAACATTTTGGTTAGCAGCCGATCTCTTAACCACTGTGGCACCAGGGCTCCCTAGCTGTATTAGTTAACATTTATTATCATTGTGTGCTAGGCACTGTACTGCCTGCTTAACATAGATTCTTATTTAATATGATTCCACTATTTGTATTTTATAGAAGAGGAAACTGAAGGTGAGTGTTTAGATAAATTGCCCAAGGTCATCCAGTGGCAAAAGTGGGACTCATAGCTGGTTCCAAAGCTCATACTTAACCACCGTGCTTTGCTGCCCTTTAAATTTGCCTTTTCCATGAGCCTTCTTCTGTCTCATCTTAACTTTTACAACTGCAGAACATCTGACCTCTCTTAGGACTTTGGTTGTACTGAAGTTTGTCTTAAAAGCAAAGACATAAATCTTAGGCACTCTGAGGCCAGGCTGTGTCAGTTACAGGAAAAGCTGTTTAAGTCTGTATGCCTGCCCCTGTCGTGAATGGTTTTTAACCCAGCTTTTTTATTTTTCTTACTAAACTTTATATAGCCCAGTCTGCAAAAGTATAGGTAGGCTCATAATTTGGTTTTCCTAATTTTCCTCCAATATGTATTCTAGTGCCTATTTACTTCATTTTTATGTACAGTGAAACTTGTGAAAGTTGGAACCTGTGTGAAGTGGAAACCTGTCAGAGAAGGAAAACTCAAATATTTTCCACTAAAATGAGTGATAGAAAAAATGGTAAGACTGCACCCTGTCAAAGGTGGAAACTTGTGAGACCCGGAAAAACAAGGCTGTCCCGTCGAGTTCCTGCTCTCACAGGTTTCATGGTATAATCTTGGATTCCAAATGTATTTTTTTCATCACCTATTTTTAATCACACAAGACATGCTTGGTCAACTTATTGTAGCTTTTCACAATATTGAAACCCTCTCTTGAGGCACTCAAGTTTGTTTTTATATCCAGCATACATACATCCAGAAATACTAATCTTCTTCCTATGGAGAATGGTGATTTTAAAAGTAGCTTTCTGGCATGATAGCTTGTGTGTGTTTCTTGCCCAGTATTTCTTGTTAAACTGTGACATAATTGTGTGTGTGTGTGTGAGAGAGAGAGAGACACTTAACTCTAGCTACTCCAAGATAACAGCCCAAGTATGGCTCCAAATACAAGCCTGCATTCTAGCAAGGAGGCACTTCAGTCTTTCCTGTTCCGTCTTATCCTGAACACATCTATTGCACGTTACAGTCAGGCTGTGATAATATAAATTCCAGGTACCTAGGAGCCTGGATAAATTGAAGTAGGCAGGAATTCTGACGATATTCTTACTCTTTTCAAATTGAGGAGACCTTCTGCAGTTTGGGCTGTCTCCCTCCTGTTTCATGACTTCAGAGTTCTTTTGGTAATGTGGATTCCAAAGTCCTTGTAGCTATGAAGGAATAATGGGTGGGGAAGTATCAGATGCAGAATTAGAAAATTCTTCTTTAGAATCTTGTAATTATTTAGCAGTCCTAAATTCCCCTTGACTTATGTAGATTCACTTGTAGTTACCAACACAAAAATTTTTTCCCCCTCTAAATCCACCTTGTGGGGAAAGGGGAGTCATTCTTATTCTTTGACTGCATGTTGTGTTCAGCTTCTCAACAGTAAAGTAGAAAGAAAATGCTTTAGTTTTCAAACTACTGTATATTATTAAGCACTCCTTATAAATAGGACTGGCATTAAAGTGTATTTAAGTAGATAATAGTTTATGATTTGGATATTATACTCTGTTGGTAAATTGATTCTGTCAAAATTTTTTTACTTTTTTTCTGCATCAAAGAAATACTTTCATGAATTCCCTTTGTTATTCTTTCTTAAATTTACTTGGATGTGCCACAGAATAGAACTTTATTTTTTAGCAGCAGTAGTGAGAATTGTCAGAGTATATGATCCAACTTGTGAAAATACTAAGATGAAGCTGATCGTTAAGCTTAGCTAAGCCTAGTCAAAGAATAGAGTTCTTTTTAAAAGCATGTATTTGGTGTTTCAGATTAGAGTATGTATATCTCAGTCAGACCTTTATTTCCAGCTTCCTCACATTTACTCTTTGTTAACTAAACATGTAGTTTTAAGCTTAAACAATAATTCTTTTTGTTTTTCTCTTTCCGTTCTTTCTTAAGTTCTGCATCAACCAATCCCTCAAGAGTCCTGGGGAACTGAAAGTGGTTATGATATAAATAGTTTTTTTATGCTTGCATAAAAAGCAAACTGTTGTTTTAATATTTTTCTGTGATGTGTGTTTGACTGTTCTAAAATGAAACAACTCTCTTGTAAAATTACTTTCTACTGATTTTTATTCAAATTGTATAGCGGCTATTAATTCAGCAATTCATAGCCTAATTTTGCGGTGTTTTGAGCTAATACGTCATTTGTTTGTTCCCCTTGAATATAGTTTAGCTTCTTTTTCTTTTGTAAGTGAGTTGGTTTGGTGATGATCTGAAGTTGCAGTCAGAGCCTTCCTAAAGTGATGTATTAGAGGCCGATCTCACAGGAAAGAAAATACTCCCTTCTCCTAGGAGGCAAGTGACAGAGATAGAGTGCTAAACCTCCCCCCTCCTTCTCCAGCCCAAGCTGACCTTCTGCGGCCCCTTGGTGCCTCTTGTTTTCTTATTTTTATAGAAAATCAGTATCCCTTCTGACACAAACAATAGCTCAAAAGCAAGAATAAATGGGAGAAAGCTGAGATCTCTATCACCTCTCCCTTTAACTCCCCCAAACTCTTTAATTATGAGTGTGCTTTGCTCCAGGTGTTTGTGACGGTGAAATTGCTAAATGAGGACCATTTTCACCAAAGATTGGGTGATCAATAACACTCTATAGCAGGAGCTTGTTGGATCAGTAGCCTTCATTATTTCATGGTTAAGGTAAGTAGCCTCCTTTGCAAGTGGAGGTCATTAATCAGGGTTTACTGGAGCTGTGGAAAAGAATATATGTGGTAGGTTGAGGGTGTCCTGTTTTCTATTCTGTAAATAGAGATGCTGACCAAGAGCATATTTACAATTGTTGCAAATGGTGGTATTGCATCTGAGAGTACTGAATAGCCAGCACAGTGTGCTTATACGGATTTATTAAAAGTTCTGCTAGTATATCTTTAGGAACAACTGAAAAAGACAGCTTGGGAGGTGGATATGATACTATTGTGTTTGAAGGTCTGTCCCTTGAAAAAGGTCCCAGGGTGGTGCGAACAACTTGTGCTTGACTACTAACCAAAACATTAGGAGTTGGATCACACCCAGCAGCGCTGTGGAAAAGAGGCCTGGTGATCTGCTTCCATAAAGTTTACAGCCAAGAAAACCCTACCCTCAGTTCTACTCTGTCACACATGGGGTCGCTGTGATTTGGAATCCACTTGAAGGCAATGGATTTGGTTTTGGTTTGGCCTCTTGAAAGACTCTCTCTTGAAAGAAATGTTAGAATTATTCTGTGTGGCTCCAGAGAAGGGATCGAGGACTTATGAATAGAAATTATAGAGCTTTAAATGTTGCCTAAATATAAAATAGAACATTCTAAAAATTAGAACTCCATAAGAATGAAGTGAATTGTTTCATCAAGTGCTGAGTTCTAGGTATTCGAGCATGGGCTTGGTGACCACTTATTGGGTTATTGTGGTCTCGAGAAGGTTGAATTGAGTGACTGCTAAGGTCCCTTGCAACAAACACTGAGATTCTGCGATTCTTTTTCTGTCACAACCCACCTTCCTTCATTGTAGCTTCTTATTTAAAAAGGCATCTACTAAATAGCCTCCACTACCTGCTAACGTACTTATGAAGACATAAAATATTGTAAACTCACATCATCAGAAGCTAGAATTTAACAGTCTACCTATTGCCGAGATTTCCTTGAACTACAAGGCTGATAGCACTGGACCGGAGAATGCGAATGGAGGTCCCTACAGCAGTGCTG